GACCACCACAATGACCGTGTTCATCAGCAACTGCGTTTCAACCATCAAGGTATGGCACGAGGTCCGCATAGGTATGATGTTCGAGACTACGACCACTCAAGTGCTAAAATTAAATTTACTATGCATGTTTTCAATGGTAAATATAATCCAGATGTTTATCTTGACTGGGAACTTTCCGTTGAACAAAAAATTGCATGTCATGATATTCCTGAGAACCAAAGAGTTAGGGCAGCCACTAGTGAACTTACAAACTTTGCTTCTATGTGGTGGAGTGAATATTGTTGTATTAATGCAAACAATATACCTACTACTTGGGATGCTTTAAAACGAGCTATGAGACAACGTTATGTTCCTTCCTATTATGCTCGTGATAAACTGAATGAATTGCAACGTTTAAAACAAGGTAGCAGTTCTGTAGAGGATTATTACCAAGAATTGCAAATTGGCTTAGTGCGATGTGGATTAGTTGAAACAGAAGATGCTATGATGGCTAGATTTTTAGGTGGTTTGAATCGTAATATTCAGGATATATTGGACTATAAGGAGTACAATTCTATTACTCGTTTGTTTCATTTTGCTTGTAAAGCTGAAAGGGAAGTACAGGGACGACACAACAAGGGACGAGGTAATTTTTCTACAGGTCGCCGCTCCTCATGGACACCCTCTCCTACAGTTCCGTCCACTACTGAGTCAACACCACCTATCTTGAACAATGATGCACACCCATCAAGTTCAAAATCAGCTACACAATCATCGGAGACTTCAAAAGCAATTTCTCTAGCACCCACCACTTCGTCTGGACGCACAGGGGACATGAAGTGTCATATATGCAAAGTTGGCGGGCACTTGATGAAGGACTGCCCAAATAAACGAACATTCATTGTACGGGAAGACGGTGAGTACTCCTCTGCTAGTGATTTGGATGAAGATACGCGTGCTATGCTTGCCACTAATAATGCAGGTGACATTAAGGAGCATGACACAGAGGAGATACATATTAATGCTGAGATGGCCGATCAGTACCCAAGTCTTGTAACCATGCGAGTATTTAGTGCCCAGGTGGGGCATACTGAGATGCCTCAACGCCATAATCTTTTTCAAACTAAGTTTGTTGTCAAAGGGCATTCTGTTCGTGTGATCATTGATGGTGGAAGCTGCAATAATTTGGCGAGTACAGAGATGGTCGAGAAACTTTGCCTCACCACTACGAGACACGCCCAGCCATGTTACATCCAATGGTTTAACGATTGTGGTAAGTTGAAGGTAACACGTCGTGTGCGAGTACAATTTACACTTGGTTCATATCATGATTATGTTGACTGTGATGTTGTACCTATGCAAGCTTGTTCTTTATTGTTAGGTCGGCCTTGGCAATATGATAATAGTGTTACTCATCATAGTAGAACAAATTCGTATACTCTTGTGTTTGAAGGAAAAACCATCAACTTGCTTCCTATGACCCCTGATGAAATAGTAAATGATGGGAAATCTAAATCAACGGATCGTGCTATGCACACTATGCTTGCTATCCATTCTGAAATGTTTCCATTGAGTGTACCAACTTGTGATCCGGATATACATTGTACCCATATAGTTAGTTTGCATCCCCATAATTCATACATAGACTTTGTGTGGGATCAAACTTTTCATGATATTCCTAATGATGCTATGGCAAATTTATTTCATCCTCATGAGTTAATGCCTTCGGAACGGCCTATATATGTTGCATCTATTTTTGCGTTGCTCTATGATGTATTTCAGATAAATGAAAGCCGAGGACGGCTTTGTTTTCAAGAAAGGGAGGATGATGTGGACATAGCCTCCACCGATGAGACCAAAAATATTATTCTCATATACAATAATCAGGTGATTTCTATTAATAATTATATAAATTATAATTTTGTTACTCGGAGTAGAAATACAACACGTTCTTTTATTGTATGTAGAATACCAGAATATTTTTACAAGAGCCGTGTGAAAATGAGGAGCAGTTCATATGCATGGAACACATACACATGCATGTACATGCCATGCATGCACCATCGAACCATCCATGATCCATCACAACCATCATTTGATGTTACGTGCACAAGGACAGAGGGCACCAGGACCGAAGCACTTGGATTAGGAATCAGATCGTGGACTCTCAGTCTGGCCCTGGAACGCTGCGGCCTCTGCACGTGGGCCCGTGCACGTACGCCCGAAGCAGAGTCCGGATGGGACACAGCGAACCGACTCGACAACACGTCTGCCTCTAATAAATAGTTACCCTAGATTATGTTTTAGACTCAGGTTTTGTTTAGAGAAGTTTAGCTATATTGCTACTTTTATTTGTCTTCGCTCGTAGCGGCTAGTGCGACCGTCAAGACATCCTATCGGAACCCCATCTTGTGAGATTAATCCCATCTAGCATATTCGCAATTTTGAGATTGCTTGGCTATTATTTTCTTGCATGTTCTTCGATTTGCTTGCAGGAAAAATCCTTCGTGGATAGGTCGATCGCGCCGTTGGCTCGGTCGATAACGCCGTGGAGTTGGTTCAGCGATTGCCGTGGATATCAGTCGTGTACGGTTCTTCCTGTACGGTTCGTAGCTGGATCGTGAGGGTCAAGTCCCACCCAAAATCGTAATTATCCTCTCTCATCGAAAGATCGGGTCCCCAGTTCACATCACACATCGCCTACGCCGCTCCCCAATCGGGCCGGCGCGCTCCGTTCCGGCCTTGCATGCTCGCCGTTGCATGCAACTGTGCGTGGGTAGGTCGGAGAGAGAAAAAGGAAGAGGGAGAGAGAGAGTGGTGGGGCCGTGGGGGTGGGTGGGTGGGTGACAAGTGGGGTCACCCCGGACGGGCGCGGACGGAGAGGGTGCGAACCGCGTCCGGTTCTGTCCGCTTTGGCCCCAAATTCAGCCCAAATTTGGTCTGAAAATAGGGTCAGACGGACATAAAACGGACAAGATGGGTCCAGTTCATTGCGCGCTGGGTCGTGGAGTTTGTCCGTTTTACCTCAAACGGACAGAGTCGGACAAAATGGGGTCTTGCGGTGGAGTTGGCCTGAGAATGGGCAGGTATCTGCATGCACAGGCATGTAAAACAAACGAACTCCGCATGCCTCTTGTCTGGCGAGCACTTTCTTATCGTGCTCCTGCACCAGATTACCACGCGACGTGGTGACGCCTCGTTTGCTCGACCTCAGAACCAGACCAGTCGGTTAAAATATATACATGGCCGGTGTGTGGATCTGAACCTTATTCGTTCAGTCAAGTCACTGGTCGCCCTACAGGAGAAAGAGGTTCAGATTCTGGCATACATGCTCGGCGTTGCATGTCCTGTTTTACTTGCCATGATCACGTGCAGGAGTTCCTAATCAACAGGTAGTGTTTGCTTTTGTTCGGAATTGCCCACATGAGACTGCCAGAAGACCTGTCCACCTGTCCAACGCTCGCCGCCGGCAACGTGGCGCGGCCGTGCAAGCAAACCTGGCGGGCTTTCAAGCTAAATCTAGTGACTGGCTGTCGCCAAGCTTTCAGGAGGTCACGAGTTTATTTTTTGCAAGATCCAGCGTTCGCTGGCATTTCATAGATTAAGTAGGAAGCAAGCGAAAAACAATGTGTGATCAAGTGATGAGTGGATGAAAACAGAGAAAACAGAAAGAGGTCCCTCGGCCCTAGCAAAAACAACTAAACCAGGCCAACAACACCGCAAGAGATGCAAGGTTGACGGTAAAACTAAACATGACATAGCACCCCACAAATCCTCCCAGTGTCGTACATCATTCATCGCGCTCGCGACCCGACGACTTCAACTTCGCTGCAACATGGAAGGGCACCGGCATGAAGCATGCATGTCTGCCACAAGTGTGTTCCTCGACCTCATCGACATTGGAGAGAGAAGGCATATCCGAAGCAGGGCAGACCTGTGCCGCTCCAATCCCGAGAGGACAAACAAGACTTGTCCGCCGCTCCAAGCATGTCGCTCCTGTCGCCCACCAGCCGCACAACGGCCAACAGCCATACTCAAATGAAGCGCCATCGCAGACTTACACACCACCGGAGCCAAGAGGTCACGAGTTCGAAGGTGCAAGTCAACTGTGACGTGCAAAAATGGTTGGCTACATGAAAATCTTGTTTGAGACTGACGAAACCACCATAGACATCTTGCTCTCGACAAACACATCCCTTATACCACTAAAATAATCGAGCCGTTAAATTCTAAAATACATCCAGAAAAATACCAGCATCCAGACCAAATCTAGGTCTTGACATCGGGTAGATATGTTCCACCCCAAAAAACCTGACACCCTGATCTACACTGGGCTTGCGTATCTTCATGGTTTTTGATACGGTCGTGAATGTAGTCTTTGCGTGAATTAGACCTTTTATTACACGATGAAGACTCAATCTTTTGGATGGCATCGCAAGCAAGGGTAATGTTTTTTTTTTCGTTTTTTAAAGATAAGTATGACTTCCGATTTTATTAACCAAACCATGTCTTCATCTTACAATGCTTAAGCTAATGATTAATTTTGGCAAATAAGGCTAATGATTAACGGCCAGGACAAGCTTTGCCACCTCAACGTGACGAAGACATGTACTCACAAACGACGATCAATTGCATGTACAACGAGAACAATAAATCAATCTAATTTACTCGTATGCCTCTGCAAAGAAGTTGCACAGACGATTAGATTAGTTACAGAGAAAACAAAGAATAGTTACAGAGAAAACAATAAAAAAAAATCGTCGCCTTCTTCAATCAGTTACTACCATCACCATCACATACTGCACTGCCTAGCTCCAGTACGCGTCCGATCGCCGGCGACCGGCATCACGCTGGGCAGGGGAGCACGCCGCCACGCCGGCCCGCACGGTCTTCACGGCCTTAGTCTTTTTCCCCGCGCCCGGAGTCGTGTCTGTCTCCAGTTGCTGCTGCTGCGCGCAGAAATTGGGCGCTGCGTTGCTCGATCGTTCGGTGCCGCGGCACGCGCGCTGTTGGTCGATGGCTCACGGGAAGAGCTTCTCGACGGCAACCCCCTGCAGCAGCGGCCGCGAGTCGCCGCGGCGGCAGCAGGAGGAGGAGCGGCGTGGCTCCTCGGAGCCCGACGAGGAAGAGACGCGGCGGAGGACGTCGCGGAGACGGCCCTCGTCGCAGGGGAGCGCGACTGGGCCGGAGGCGCCGGACGGGAAGCCGTACTCCTCCTCCGCCTGCCGGAGCAGCTCCAGGAACGCCGGGTGGCTCAGGTGCCCCAGCCGCACCATGAACCGCGCGCCCTCCGCGCAGACCGCGACGTGCCCCGCCGGCACCGGGGCGGAGGTGGACCGGCGGTTCCGCCACCGGCGGACGGCGCGGCGCAGCCAGGCGAAGGACGGGATCGTGATGACGTTGCACATGCTGCCTTGTCTTGCTTTGCGCCGACGAGCTATCGAACGCGTTCGCTTGCTGCTGCTGCTGCTGCTAGCTCTCTGGTTGGGACACGGAAGAGTTGGTTGGGAGCTGTGTGTTCTGGGTGGTGGGGTGGAAGAGCGGGCGGGGTGGCGATATATATAGCCCAGGTGTGAGTGCCTTGTGGGTTGGCGCAAACTGCAGGGATGGCACCGCGATCAGTGGGTGCTAATCTTTTGTGTTGCTGCGCGCGACACGACACCGGGAGGAGATCGGCATCCAGTGCCAAGCTGGGGCAGTCCGCGCAGCCCAACCCAGCGGACCGCAGCTTGCACGCATCGTCTCCTGCCCCCGATCAGGCAGGACATGAGCGACCTCTTCGCGCGTCCAGAACAAAATACGCCCTCTAATCCAAGTGATTAATCAAGCATGTTGAGATCAATGATCGTGCCAGCAAGTGAGCCCGATTTTCATATGTTGCACATCCAATTTGCAACGCAATAACATCTACAACCGAACTTGACAAATTCGACCCATCAAACGCCCGCGGACGCACCCGGACGTGTCCGCAGGCAGTGACCGGTTACCCATTAAAAAACGCATTCCACATTCGGATACCTCAAATTAAAAATCTTAAATCCATATTTTTACATGCAACGTCAAACCTAATCTACGCGAAGCTTATCCGGTTCCGCTCCCCGCTCGCCCGGCTGCGCCCTGGCCATGTCCGACGGCCGGCTGCGCTCCTCAGAGTGTTGGGCCGGTCGCTGGCAAGGTAGGGTAGGGCATGGGACACGAGCTGGCTCATGGGACTCAAGGCTCCGTCGTCTCCCATGCCCTACTCTTCCTCGTCAGAGACCGGAACCCGAACGGTGCCGGTGGACACTAGTAGAAAAATGACCTATTGTACCGGTTCGTAAGGACCTTTTGTCCAGGTTTTGTAACTCGACACTAAAGGGTGAGGACTAAAGGTACCCCCTATAGTCCCGGTTCAACACGAACCGGGGCCAAAGGCCCACCACGTGGCACAAGCCGGCACGGTGGTCTGGGGGACCTTTAGTACTGATTGGTAACACCAACCGGCACTGAAGGATTTTTTTAATTTTTTATTTATTTTTTTAAAAATAAATGTGTTTTTTTTCTGATTTTCAAAATTCTGAATTATTTGACAATTTAGTCTCTAATCACTCCTCATCATTGCCCTAATCACCCCTCATCATTCCCTAGTTTTCAAGTCTGCACTTGTTGTTTACCTGACAATAGTAAGTTGTCAATCTTATTAACCCTCGGGAGTTTAACTTGAGCATGAAGTCACATGTTTCATTGTTTGATTTTAAAACTATTATTCTAAGAAATAATTATTATTTAGTAACAATAATATTTTTTGAATAAGTAGTTTGACTATAGTTTGACCAGATATGACCATAATTTGACCAAAAATCAAAATAACTAAAATAATTATTTATTAACACTAATATTTCTTGAATAAGTAGTTTGACCACAATTTGACCAGATTTTATGAAAATAAAAAAACTGAAATTTGAGCATATCTTTTTCCTTTTAGAATTTGAGGATTCTAAAAATTTGCAAAAAGGCCTAATTTTTCGTGCTGATTTTTGATATATTATACATTTTTTTCGACATCTATGCAAAAGATATGGGCCGTTTTACTTTTTCATAACACTTTTTTGCAAAACATGTCCAAATTTAAGTTTTTAAATTTTCCTAACTAGTAGATGTAGTAACATAACTACATCTCGAAGGATTTTATTTTTTGAAGTTTTTATCATTTTCTTTTGTTTTTCACAAAACTGAAATGGCAATACACAAGGGGGGTAGAGTTTGAAAATTGCCCTTTAGTCCCGGTTTGTGTCTCCAACCGGGACTAAAGGTTAGACCCCTTTTGTCCCGGTTTATGACACAAACTGGCATTATAGGTTAGACCTTTAGTCCCGGTTCGTGTTACAAACCGGGACTAAAGGGGCTCATGGGGCCCCGGCCTGACGCCAGCCTGCCACCAACCCTTTAGTACCGGTTCGTGCCACGAACCAATACTAAAGGTTCAACACGAACCGGGACTAATGCATAGCCTCACATTAGTGCCGGTTAATTTACAAACGGGACTAAAGGGCCGAACATTGGGCCATTTTTCTACTAGTGGGACGTCAGATCGATGATGGATCCATCCGGGGACGAGCCGCCGACGTCCACCATGATGCGGTTGCGGCGCCCGGACTGATGCGCCATACGGGGCACCGGAGAATGCGACTCTGCCTCGCCGACATCCGCCGCTACGAGGGCTGCCGCCGCCTCCCGCGCCCGATGCCTTGCACGGCGGGCACGACGTGCCATGGGCTCATCGGACGTGGCCCATGGTGCATCCCGATGCCAGCGTGTTCGGACGCCAGACGGACCGCACAGCATCCGGCGAGGCAGCTATGGCCGGCCTAGCGCCGGATCCATGCCCCATTTGGGCGTACGCAATGGATTCCCGACGGATGGAGTTCGAGCGCAGCCGTCCACGGGACTCCTCTCGAGCGCGGCGGAGCGCAAGCCGGACGGCCATCTCCTCCTCGGGGCAGCGCAGGATGAGCAATCAGGTTCGATGAATCTGGAGGTGAATGACTCGATCCGCTCCCCGCCATGCCGAAGAGGACCGGAAGGAGCCGGAGACGTGTTTGGGCGGCGGAGGGAAGGGGAGTGAATGGCTAGGGTTTGGTCCGGCGAGTGGATGGAGAGGATTTTATGCGAGGTCGGGTGGGCTAGTATGGGTCGGGTCTGACGTGGCGGGGGTGCCCGGGCCTCCCATATCCGCCCCATATTTGAGCTGGATATGAAGGGTGCCGGTCAGCCCGAACGTTTGAGGGCCGTTTGAGGGACCTGTCTGGAGTCAAAAAATCATGACCGGACGCCCTGTCGGTGCGTATGAAGCGGGTTTGAGAGGTCCGGTTGCATATGTTCCGATGGAGCACACGGTTCCCTTCCTGTTTTATATCGCCATGCACGCGCGTGAAGGAGGGGGACAGAGCGCCGCGTAACCTTGAGAATCGTCAGACAGATCCTGCATGGTTTCACCCGAGCTCTTTGTCCTGTTTTGTCTGACAAGAAAATGCCTTCAAGATTGGACTGACAATGAGCAGCAATATCTGCATGCAAATGCACGTAACACCAACGGACTCCATGAACATATATCTGAATATCTCTTGTCTGCTAAACAGTTTGTGTGTTACGGTTGCCGCCACGTTTGCTCGATCTCTGACACTGGGTCAGTCGATAAAAAATACTGCTAGTAGTGTGGCCGGTATGTATGTCTGAACCTTATTCGGTCGGTCAAGTCACCTGGTCGCCCTACACGCCCGCCGTTGCATGTCCTGTTTTACTCGCGATAAGCACGTGCAGAAGTTCCTAATCAACAGGTCGTGCGTGGTTTCGTTCGGATTGCACGCATGAAACTGCCAAAACACAGTCCACCTGTGACCTGTCCGCTGCTCGCCGCCGGCAACGTGGCGCGGCCGTGCAAGCAAATCTCGCAGATAATTGGCTCTATCGGCCTGGAGCACTGTATTAGTTTTTTTAGGGAAGAACACTGCATTAGTTAGGAGCATGACACTTGTCGGCTTTGAAGCTAAATTAAGGGTAACTCTGACTGTCTAGTGACCGACCATAGCCATGCTTTGACGAGGTCACAAGTCTGAAGAACGCAAGTCCACTGTAACGTGCGAAAATGGTACTAGGCTACCGGATAGCAAGTGTGTTCAATGAAGGATCGCCGGAATTACGCAGGGGAGAGGAGCATGCCGGCCCTTCGGATCGGGTCAGGATCCTCTGTAGTTCTGTACGGTGCTGTAGGATCACTGTCATATGGACTCGCCCCACATGTCATCCGCACTACAGCACCGTACATTACAGCAGAGGATCTCAACCCCTTCAGATCAGTGTTCCGGCGCTTACTGTTCCAGGAGACCGTGTGTCCGTGTCCGTCACCAGCTGCTGCCGTTGCGCGCAGCAGAAACTGGACGCTCCGCGGGCCGATCGTTTGGTGCCGCCACTCGCGCTCAAGGAAGGCCACCCTGTTAAAATATGTTGTCAATCTTTTTCATCAGTTCGGACTTTTGATAAACTTGACTAACGCATCAGTTTAATATGACATCAGAGCCACAAGGTCTCGAGATCAAATCCTAGCAAAACGCACATTTAATATAAAAGTAGTTATGATCTAATCTCGATTCCACATCTAAGGTCTTCATGTACGTTCACAGTTTAGATGTGAGGGAGAGTGTTAAAATACGTTGCCTAGCCTTTTCATTAGTTCAGACTTTTGAGAAACTTGGCTAGCGCATCAGTTCAATACACCCCTTGCAGCAGCGGACACGAGTCGCCACGGTAGCGGCGGAAAGAGGAGCGGCGTGGTTCTCGGAGCCGGATGAGGGAGACACGCAGCTGAGTACGTCGCGGAGGCGGTCCTCGTCGCATGGGAGCGCAACGGGGATGGAGGCGCCGGACGGGAAGCTATACTCCTCCACCTGACGCAGCAGCTTCAGGAACGTCGAGTGACTCACGTGCACCAGCCGCACCATGAATCGTGTGCCATCCACGCAGATCGCCACATGCCCCGCCGGCACCGGGGAAGAACCGTGGTGTGCCCGCCATCGGCGCAGCCAGGCGACCGACGGGATCGTGATGGCATTCCACATCTTCCCTTTTCTTGCTTTGCCCCAACGAGCTGCTGTTGCTGCCGCCTGCTGGCTCTCTGGTAGGGAGACTTGGTTGCGAGCTTTGTGATTTGGGTGGTGGAGGAGTGGAAGAGCGGGACGGGGCGGGGACATATATAGCGCTAGCCCTGGGGCTTTGGGGGTGGCGCAAACTGCAGGGATGACACGCTATTCACCGAGTTGGCCATGAAATGTATGTTTGGTTGCATATGGGGTTGGCTGGCTCGCATGGGCACAAAGTTTAAAGCAACCCCAAGCCTGGCTCTCTGGAAACCCTCGAATCGGCAGTTTCTAGC